ATACATAATACATAAAGTAAAAAAAAAACAAGCAAATAAAAACGCTGTCTACTAGAATGGAAAAATGGTAACCTAAAGCAGCGTCTCAAGGTATGGTCTGTGGACTCATGATCCCAAGAGATGTAACAGTTCCAGTTGCACACACATGGGCGCTGCTACATACTCTCTCCTCCCCTAAGGAGAAGCACAGTGTCTTAAAGGCTCTGAAAAGTCCTGCAAGAAAAAGTCCTGGTTGACTTTGTTTAGCCTAATATTTTTCAAATTTTATAACTAACATGAAAACCTTCTTATTTTTTCAAAATATACTTTGTAAATGCTTATTACTTAGTTAAAAAGCCAAACAAATGATTGCTTTGATTAAAATTCCTGAATGCTATGAAATCTTCTAAATCTTAAGTTAAATATCAGTTGTCAAGAGTATTATGCAGTCATTTTTACAAGATAAAATCATACACACCTTATCCAGAATAAACTCACACCATATAGTATGACGCAAAGTACTGAGGCAATGAAAGAAGACATTTATATGTTTGACCACAGAAAATCTTTTTTAAACTTTTGCATGGTAAAAACAAAGTAAACAAACACAAATTACAAGGTAAGGGAAAGAGACAAAAAAATGTTAAAAGGAGGGGCAAAAGATATGAAAAGACACAATATTTATATAGATATAGATGTAAAATACCCACATGAATATACATAAGTATTACATAAATGGCTATGCATATAAAAAGACAGTCACCTCCACTCATGATGCTCATAATGAAAGCAAGTGCAAATTAAAACGACTTTAAGATACCAGCTCTTATCTCTCATGTTAGGAAGCATTAAAAACTTGATAACATGTTCTGTGGCATGGCTGTAAAGAAACCAGCCCTTTCACACATTACCGGTGGGAACGCAGATGTGAGCAACCCTGATGGAGGGAACTTGTCAGTATCTAACGAAACCAAGTATATATTTACCTTTTGTTCCAGGAATCCCACTTCTAGCCATTTGCCTTGAAGATACATCTCCAGGTATACAAAAATAGATGTGCCCGTGGTTATCCATTGCGGCATTAATTGCAATAATCTTGCAGATAATTTTCAGTAATGCAAAATACTGAAAACATGCCCAAGCATAGGAGAGTGGTGAAATAAATGACAGCACCCACACCGTGGGGCACTGTGCAGCCGCAAGAATAAGGAAGCCGTGAACTAGTATAAGTGAGTTCCAGGATGTGTTTTAAGTTGAAAAAATGAAAATGCAAAATATTAATTATGGTGTGCCACCTTTTGAATAGGAAAGAAGACGAATGAGAAATAGGCATGTACCTGCTTATTTCTGCGAAAAGGAACATAGAAAGGAGATAGCAGGACTAATGGAATTGACTACCTGTAGGGCGGTGGATGCGGATGGCATGGAAGCCATGAGGGCTGGGACAGACTGGAAGCGGGCGGGGAATGTAACTCCTGCCTGAATGGACTTTTGAACTGTTAATCTTTAACATTCTCGACAACAGCACAGTAACAAAGATCAGTAAGGAAAGAGAAAAACCTAACATGTGATATAAACAGAAGCTGATGGCTCTGTATTTCAAATGAATAATGCAGATGCTCCTCAACTTACGATGGGCTTGCATCCCAATAAACTCATCGTTAAGTTGAAAAGATCCTAAGTCCAAAATGCACTTGTACACCTAACCTCCCAGACATCATAGCTTAGCCCAGCCGACCTTAAACGTGCTCAGAACACTCATATTAGCCTACAGTTTGAGCAAAGTCATCTAGCAGTGAACACAGTGTGGAGCATCGGTTGTGACCGCGTGGCAGGCCCGGAGCTGTGTCTCACTGCTGCTGCCCAGCATCACAAGAGAAAATAATACCACATATTGCTAGCCCTGGAAAAGATCAAAATTCAAAATTGGAGTGCAATAGCTACTGAGCGTTTATTGCTTTCACACCACTGTAAAGTCAAAATTGTAAATCAAACCGTCGTAAATCAGGGACCATCTGTGTCACCACACTGAAGGGGTGGAAAATAGTGCAAGTACATTTTGAACCTAGTATTTGACTAAAAAATAAAAAGGAACTATAAACAAAGAACCCTAGAGAGTAGGTTAAGGTTTTCTATTGGTTGGTTAATTTGTTTTGTTTGCTTAGCAATTCTGAAATGATTTTTTTTTTTTTTTTTTTTTTTTGGTGTGTCTTTAGTTAAGAAAATAAGTAAATATATTGAGGCTCACAGGAGCCAGGTCTCTGGCAGTCAGCAGGGAGTTACAGATATGGAAGGAGTGAAGGTGAAAACAGACTGTGGTGTTGTATGAGTATTGGAGAAATCAGCATGAGCCCATGACTGCAGACCAGGGACCATCCAGCTTTTTCTGTGAGGGGCCAGATAAATGCTTCCATCTGTCACCGTAGCACAGAAGCAGCCACAGATGATACATTAACAAGTGACCATGTCTGCATTCCAATAAAAGTTTATTTATGGGCACTGAAATTTGAATTCTATGTAATTATCATGTGTCATGAAGCATTATTATTTTAATTTTTTTCAACCATTTAAAAACATGAAAGTATAGAAACCATTCTTGGTTTGCACGCTGTGCAAACCAGGCAGTGGGCCAGACGGACATCGCCCATGGGCCGTCGTGTGCCAACCCCTGTTTAGATAAATGATGATAGATGATAGGTAGGTAGGTAGGTAGGTAGATCACAAGCAAATGTGATAAAATGTTTAAATCGGGGAATCTGAGTGAAGGACATAGAAGAGTTCTTTGTACTCTTGCAACTTTTTGATAAATTTGAGATTATTATTTTTTAAATCACAAAAAGATCCCTATGCTTTCCATGGCTACTGCTAAGATGGAAAAACAGTAATCAGATCTTTAGCCTACAAAGTGAATGCATTGCTTTTTACATCAGTCACACAACTCCCAGCGACATTTTTCCCATGTCCATGGGCCACAGGTAGGTCCTTCTGCCATTGTGTAGTTTCTCATTTGTCTCTGGGCGTGTCCTTATAGGATAACGTTATCTTCCCCCTGTCCACCCTTGCTCTCCATCACTCTTACTGAGTAATGAGGTCACTGGGCTGGTAATTTGTGTGTGACCTTGTAATTTTCAATAATGTAGGAATTTGGGGTCTACTATAATTAAAGGGACTAAATAAAAGGTGCTTGTCAGAAAATGCCCCATTAGCTTGGGAGTCTGACAAATCCTTTTTGATGGCCTTAATGTGTTATTATGAAATTCAGTTACACAGCGTGCTCCCCTTGCTTGTTTCACTAGCCATAATCTAGTGATAGCTGAGGTGAGCAGTTACTAAAAGTATTTTAAAATATTACCAGTATGAAGTGGGTAGTTTTTACATTAAGATACTTTTTATACAAAGAGAGTGAATGGCTTACAAGGAAAATCTCTACTGTACAGACTTGTAATCATTCCACCGTCCTTTATTGGTTTAATTTCAACAGAATCCAATTCTTACCTTGGCTTATCATTGTAGGTAAAGTCACACTATGATCTTCATTGATAATGATGATGGTGGTGGTCATAGCTGAAATGTATTGAGTGCCCCTCTGTACCCAGATCCATGCCAAATGATTTTCATCCATATTTTTAATTCAATCCAAGCAACAAAACTCTGAGGTACTATTGTTATCTCCTTTTTATAGATGAGGCTTACGATGCTAAGTGACTTGTCCAAGTTCTTAGGTTAGGAAAGGTGGAGCCAGGATTGGCCTGGGGAGCCAGTACTCTTAGTTACTGGTTGGGACTGTCATTTGGAAAGAAATTGTGTAGTCATGAGGACATGCTCCTGTTGAGAAGAATTAGGAAAACTCCTGGGTACTCTATCAAGGCAAGAAATAGAATTCATGTTGGAAAACCCTTCACATCCCCTGAAGAAGCACGGGAGCAAGGTTAGAGATGAGAAGGGCTTGGAGTAGAAGGCGCAGCGACTCGCATCTTCTGGGCGTCGCGACTCGCGTCACACCCGCCCAGGTACCCACTAGAGGGAGCAGGGGCTGGGAAAGGATGGAGGGGGAAGGAAAGTCAGGAGACTGGGAAATGAGGTTGGAAGCTGCAGGCAGAGGGGCAGTTGAATGTAGCAGGTGCTCTGGAGTGGTTTTGTCCCCCTTGGTAATGGGGGAACTGAAGCAGGGAGTCACTCGAGGACCCGGCTCCCTCACTCTCCCTTCTTTCATCTTCTGCTGCTGCAGAGCCCCGAGTTAAGGCAGACTGACTCCCACCGTGGGCTGGTCCACGGGAGCCCCAAGACCAGCTTCTGCTTTGAATCGCCGTGTGGAATGTTGTCATTCGTGACGTATGACATGTGACTTTGTTAGGCTTTCTTACCCAAAGGTTATAAGGAGCGTTGTCTCTGCTGCATTTCTTCTGAGTTATTGAAATGATTTTCTTATGTGGGAGAAACTGTGCTGAAGTTTAATAGCAATAATAAGCTTTTAGAAGAATGTCATCTTTGGTCAGGTGATGTATTTATTGAACAACTACAGACAATCCCCAATTTACGATGATTTGATGTAATGATTTTTTGACTTTACAGTGATATGAAAGCAATATGCATAATAAATTACATGAGATGTTCAACACTTTACTAGAAAATAGGCTTTGTGTTAGGTGATTTTGCCCAAGTGTAAGCTAAGGTAAGTGTTCTGAGCACATTTAAGGTAGGCTGGGCTAAGCTATAATGTTCGTTTCGGTAGGTGAATCAAGTGCATTTTCAACTTGCAGTATTTTTACCTTATGATGGTTATCAAGACATAACCCCATGGTAAGTCAAGGAGCTCTGGAGTTAGTTAAGTGATTGACTCTATATTAACCAATTTCTAAAACTGAATATTAATTTTTGAACATCTTGTCTTTCTGAAATACGAAGGAGGAAAAATGTTTCTTTGTGGAAGATCCCAGGGAATTAAAGATCCAGGGGAAGGGTAAAAGCTGCCTGTGGAGCTGCAGACGTGTGTGCTCATGGCCTTTCTTCGTTCCTTCTAGGGACTGGTTAAACATGCTGAGCCCGCCTATCGTTCCCCCCAGCCAGCAGCCAGCGGAGCAGCATCAGGATTCTTCTGGAAGTTTGACTGCTCAAGGTGGGAATATGAAAAATGCTATGCATAAAAATAAACTAGTTAAACTAATTATAAATAAACTAATTATAAATAGGGAAAGTCAGTCACTTTGAGATGCCACTTTTTTATTACATGCTGGTCGCTTAGGCTCATACACCCACAGTCAGTAACCTGTCCTCGTTTTATACAATGATGGGTTCTTTACAGCTAAACAGAATGAGGGGAGAAATTGCCCTTGTTCACCTAAAGGTCAGTCCAGGACAAAAACATTGTGTCAGGAGGAAGGGCATGGCTCGGTGTGAAAATAACCTCCATCTGAGTTCCAGCTCTACCAATTCCTGCTGTGACCTTTACGAATTTTGGCTGCTGCGTTCGCAAAGTCAGACTAATAACAGATGGTGCCCTCCTGAAAGTTCCCCACGAAGATCCGACGAGGTAGACTGTACACGAAGCACTTAGAATAATCGCCACATCGCAGCTGTTGGGATTGTTGCAAAGCAGGCTCGTTCCAGTAGCACTGAGATTCATGGTTTTTGTTGTTAAGATACAAGGGGGCTTGGGAGTTATTTTGGGGTGTTTTCAATTTTCTTATTTTAAAAAAATTTGTCAATTATAGTTGACATAAAGCAAAGGCTGGCGAGAGTTATGATAAGTAGCGTTAGCTGGAAAAACTGGAAGGGAGCAGGAATGAAAATGTGCCTGGGGTTCCCTTTCATGGCGAGAGCTGTAAAGAGGAACCATTCGTTTCTGTTGTGAGCAGGGAACATGACTCTCAGCAGTGTAGACAGGAGGAACAGAAAAGAATCTTTGGTGGAAACAGAGGGCTTGAGATGGGGGCTGGGGAGGGTTGAAAGTACATAATTGGAGTGACAAGTAACCTCATAGTGGGGCTCCCTGAGACCGTTTTCTGAGTTTGATTTTGAAGATGGAAGCTGTGTATCTAAGGTTAAAAAAAAAACTAAACCAATATAAATTGCTCCAACAAAGGTGCCAGTTTTGGGGGTTGTTTTTTTCATAGCTGCCCCAGGGAGAAAGTGGAACATCCATTTTTCTTCAGATACGGATAATTCAGAGTGAAAGCTCATACATCTGAGTTGTACACTTGGGCCGCCCAAGGGATAGAGATGTCTCTGTGATTAACTATCTGAAATAGATTATGCCCCTCAAATTGGGAATCTTTTTAGAGGTGTGCATTTATAATTACTTATGACAGAAACGTAGAATCTGGGCTGTCAGGAGGAGACCTTGCTGTGAGGGAACAAATAATATATTATGTTAAGTGTCCTAAGTAAGACACAGGAACGGAGACCATGGTCCTTGAGCAAAGGCACCCGAGATGTGTGTTATCATAATGGCTGAAAGGATGTCTTCAAGTCGCCGATGCCAAGTGACGTTTTGACAGCAGGAGCTCAGTTATGTTGAAGGTAAACAGAACTTCCATCGAGGACAAAATAACAAATTCAGAGAATTATAAAAATGTTCTGGCTAAAATTCAGCAGATCTGCCACCCCTTCTGTGTACCACCCTAGATTTTGTCTGAGGTCACTTTCCCCTTTTCTGATATGTTTGGGTGGTTTGTAAGTAATTAAAACCATCAAAAATTAATATCTCTTATTTGGTTTATCTTTACATGTTACTGGGTTAGTTTTAGATGACATAGCACAGCTCATATTTACCAATATATTGAGATAGTATTTTCACCTGTTCTTATAAAGTATGTGTTTGTCAAGGGAAAATAATGGGTTCGGTTATCTAGTTTATATCATCAGAAGAAGGGAGGCACGGTTATGGGCAGCCTGGGACTCTTCCTGGGTTTCTGTTCCATGATACCATTAGTTTAGCCCTTACTATGTGTCAGACACCGGGCTAAGCTGTTACATTTAGCCCCCACGGCTACACCATGAGGAAAGTCCTGTGTGTGTGTGTGTAATGGTTTTTTACAGCTAAGGAAACCGAGGCAGAGTTCTCGAATAACCTCCCTGCCGCAGGTCACATAACTAGTCATTGGCAGAGCTGGGATGTGAACCCAAGAAGCCTGCCTCCAAAGCCCAACTACTGTTTTTATACTTTTTTGGTTTTGAACCAGTGAATAGATTACTTACTCGAAAAATAATTAGCCCAAGACCAGAAATTGAAAGATTGTTCTTTTATTGAGAATCCCTAATCAATAGGAAAAGCAAATTAAAATATCTCAAGGGCTCAGTAGCTAAATTCTATAGGAGAAAAAAAAACAGACCTCTGGTCACCTGTTTCAGCCCTGGGCCTGCCGCCTCCCTCCCAGGCTTGTTAGAAATGGCCCGTGGCCACCCTGTCTCCACGGGCGCAGCGGAGGGGTGCAGTGACTGCCCACCATTCCTAGGGCAAGGCCAAGGGAATGAAGAGGCAAATGAAGGACAAGACCACTGGGCTTCAGGACTGCCAGGCCTGGGCGTCTGCTGGTAGCCCACCTTCCTAAGGGCCCTTCTAGACGGTCTTCTCTGAGTAGGTCAGTCTCTCTCACTCCACTGTGTCCACTTTCTTCACAGCCTTTTCTCAATTTGTTATTTGTTTGCTGTTTATTGTCTTTTTTTCCTAAGCAGCCTATGGAGACTTTGTCAGTTTACCTTCTCCCAGTTTACCCTATGCAATTTTTGGTATATATTAGAGATTCCGAATTTTCACTAGAAGAAATACAGGAAGGGAGGAAAAGAGGGAGAGAAATGTTCAACTGACCATTTCTTATCACAACCTTGAAAAACAAAGTAGGGTAATTCACTGAAATCTGACCTTCAGTTTTCTCCCTAATTCCAGTTTTTCAATATAGTAGGTATATTTCTAAAATTCAACAGTGAGAGCATTAAACTTAGACCCATACATTTTAACAATCAAAACAGTTATAGGCCACATTATGCAATAACTCTTAAGCTTTATTTGCAAGCAGTGGAAATCTTTCTTGCAAATGCAATTTCATGTGGAATCCCAATATACAAAGGAGATAAAAGCAGAACCGCTCTGGCTAACAGCCGGAGTTAGGGTCTCAGAAACCTGCCCTGGGGCTCTGATGAACCAGTTAAAAACACTGAGGTAGCCCAAACCCCTCAGTTTGACCTTGCCCAAGGTCAAATGTCAGAGCCCAGGCGAGGAGTAGGACCCAGGCTTCCTCCACATCAATGCCTTTCTGCAAAACCATTGCATGGGAAAGTGAGGGTCTTCTGAGGCTGGTTCACAGGGAACAGGGGTCTCCATCTACCAACTTTTAGGATAGAAACAACTAACGTTTACCTCATCTGCCTGTGACGCAGGCCTTCATGTGCACTTTAATTCTCAGAATAGCCTTATTTACACATGGACACTAGGACTTAGAGCAAGGAAGTGGTCAGAGATGGAGAGGCCGAGATGCACCCTTGCAGCTGGAGGCATAAGTGCCTTTAACAGCAGGGAAAGTTGGCCTGACCAAGACAGAACTAGAAAACTTGCCCCAGGCCCTACAAAAGCAAGTGCACGCTTACACCTGGCCTTGGAGTCCTAGTTCATTGAGTACAAGTCTGTCAAGCCACAGTTGCTGCTTGACCAGAGTGTCTTGGGTGTATAAATGCCACCTTGAGGTGAACAGCCGGCCTCAGGGGAGGGGCTGATGGCTCTTCCCAGCTCCTGGACCATATTGTACTCGTAAATATTGTGACCGTGGGCACAGGCGCCCTGACAAAAAATGTGTGTTCCTGAAGCTCGTCTGAAGAGTAAAAACGGGAAGTTAAGATTTCAGAAGCTATTCACGAAAACTACCAAACTGACCTTTTGAAAGTGAAACGGGCTTGGCTTGAAAAATAGTTGTCGATTTGTTTTTGACATTTGTTTCTTACAGGTAGGACCCTTGAACTGTGTTCACACTTACCAGCTCCAAAATAGAATAGTGACGGCCCCTCTCTCCAGGCTTGCAGCCTCCCTGGCAGCTCGCCTAGGTCTTGACCCAGAAAGGCGTTCAGAAGGACTTTGGAGTTGCCAGCCTCATAAAGATAACGTTCTTGTACTTTTTGTTTAGCAAAGCCACATAGGATGTTCCTTTAGGAACATTGATTAATTTCACACGCGACATAAATAGGCAACAGATGCTTATTTTCCAGATGTAACATCTAAATCACTAATAAAGAATTTACAGAAATCTCATGGCTCCTCACAGCCAACCAGAGGGAGGGGGATCTGGCTGCCTGCTCTGGCTCCAACAGAGGAATACTTTCACAGTCCCATGTCGTACCACCGATTATTTCACATTTGCCTAATTCTGAGTCTAAAGCAGTTTTTAAAATCTGTTTTCTTAGTTACCTCACCAGACATTTTGTTTCATCAAGGACCCAGTAAACGCCCCACAAATACTCAGTGAGTGGAGGAGTGAAGCTTCTGCCCCAGGAGACAGGAGGAGGGTTTGGACTACCCTATGGATCTTCCCTGTATCTTAAAGATTTAAGATGCAAAGGAGACCTTCCCCCCAAAAAATCAATATTGGTGATTAAAAGTACTAATAGAAGTCAGCATTAATAGAGCACCCACTATGTCCCCGGGAGTCGAGTTTCTCTGTGCACTACCTTGCAGCAACGTCCCAGCACTCCCAGGCTTGGGGCTCTGTCACGTCCCCACCTTACAGGTGAGCTTAAGGTCACAGCCTGGGTCACAGACCCACTGGATGCAGAGCAGGACGCTGAGCCAGGCCAGTTGGCACCCTGAGCTCCCACGCTAGGGCAGCAGAGTTCCCGCTTAGGTCAGTGAAACTGCACAGCTGAAATGCGCACTGCAATTTCTTCTGAGGAAGTTCTCTTTCTTGAAGCTTTCTGGGTAAAAAAGTATCTTCTTTGGGATTCTCCTTAGACCCATAGAGCCCCCACCTCAACTCAGCTTGTAAAATGATTCATTAGTGTTTATGACATTCTTGAACCCAGAATCCCTGCCCCGCCCCGTGAGGTAAGTATTGCCTTTGTTCTCTGATTAACTTTGGGGCAGGGAGATGTTTTATGCAGCTGGCAGGGTCCCCGGGGTGTCTCCTCTGCATA